AGTGAAATAATCGTGCTAATGCACGATAATGCACATCCTCATATCGCTAGAATAGTGAATGATTACCTTGATGAAGTAACCCCATTGAGGTTCAATTTGAATGATTTTATTGGGCACCGTACAGCCCGGATTTAAATCCGATCGAGAATTTGTAAGGTATCATAAAACGTCACATTTGGATAACATTGGATTGCAGCACAATAACAATGGAATGCAATTCCTCAAGCATATATTCAAGATTTAATTCAAAGCATTTTACGCCACAACAGTAGTTAACGCTCGAGGCCTATTAGTTAACTCGCTATTAGTTTTATTGTTCCAAACAAAACATTAAAATACGACGTTGTAAGTAATATTTAATTTCAAGCTATTTTATGTTCACATTCCAAAAATTTCTATTTTTAATTCTTTTAATTATACTTAAAATGCATTTCATGTTATTAATTTTTCACTTGCTACGTGCTAATTTAAGATTTCTATTCAGAAAAAAAGTGATTGTTAACATGAACCGATCATATTGAACATATTTAAGATAATTTCAAGATATTCCACATTTTTTCAAGAGTGTATATATGCTAATTTTTTGTTTAAATATACTTTAACTTAAATACTTTTCAAATGCGTATATTTCAAATTACGAAATATTTCAAAATACGTAAATATAAAATATTTGTCAAGGTTTATTACATTACAAGAGAAATTATCTTTTACACAGATTGCAGCACCACCCCCAATACTTGAGTGACAATAATACAAATTGTATCCTCTAGGGGATTGTAAAACTATAGAGAACCATCACGAAGGCTAAAACGATAATCATTAAGTTTGATAATATACTTCCATCGCTTGTGTTTCTACGAATTGAAAATTAGGGAAAATCGCCGGAAAACCACAAACTAGGACGTCGGTTCCACCACTGCAATTCATTTCCAGTGTCGCGGCAGCTATCGATCGGTATTCAAGGACATTTTCGGCAGTAGGGTGCAGCTTTTAGGCTCTGTCCTTCGGTCAAAAATATTAACTACACCAAATATAGAAAAACAAGACGAAAATAAAATACTATCTGACGAAAATAACTTAGGTTCTTCTCGTCGTATATTATTATGTGCTTCGAAATGTTTATATGTTGCGTAATATACAGGGTAAGACAATAGTGAGAAATTGGGAAAATACTGTGTTTTTCTTTTGACTACCCCCATACTAACTTGTTGAATTAATAAATAAATGGCAGTTTTCCTAAAACTCGATCAAGACAAAAAAATGTCACTTTTTGTATAGAGTGTACAGGGTATATATTATGTGAGGCATCAGACAGATGCATTCTATTCTCGATGTTATTTAATATCTACTCGGAGATCATTTTTAAGCAGGCTTTGTAAGATTGCTCCATTTTAAAGTGAAAATCAATGGCGTACTGATTAATAATCTTATATATGCTGACAAGACTATTATCTTATAATTTCACCAATAAGTGTTACTATTGTTTAACATTACATGTTTATTAATGCTTTAGATAAGATTGAACTAAAAGATAAAAAACAAGTGCAATGTCATTTCATTTGCATGTAAATAATAACATACATAAAAAATGTTCCTTGTACATTCACCGGTAAACAAAGTGACCACCCTATAAATTTCCCAAAATAAAAATTCATTGGAAGTTTTATGCACTGTTTCATATTGTATTCTCAACATCTTTTATTTTTAAAACAAAAAATGGCCATTACTGCTTTATTTAATAAAATAATTTATTTAATTAGAAGGCTACAAACGAAAATAGTGTAATATCGAAACGAATTACAAACAATAAAAATTGCGAGTGAACTTAAACAAACTTGTTTAATATCGGGTATTATGTCCTAAAGCATTAATAACTGTTTGCATACGATTTGGAAGTGAAAGGAACAAATTTTGAATAAAAACTTGAGCAATACGTTCATATTCTTCAAAATGCACGTTTTAAGGTTCTGTAAGACTTTCTGGCTGGTCTGGCTAACTTCTAATCATACGATGAAATTCATCCCAAAGATGTTTGATGATATTCAGATCAGGGTTGCAGGCTGGCCATTCTAGAGCATTTTGTCAAGATTCTTGCAGTATCCGACCGTGCATAATAATCCAAATGTGCAATAAATAAACCAAATGGAACTACTGCTTCTGCCAAAACGTCCTAATGGTGAGCATTCAGGGGGTCATTGATAAAAATAAGTTCAGTTCGCGTTTCTAATGAGAATCCAGCCCAAACCATGACACCACCACCGCTAAACTTTCTTCTCTGGGACATACAAGCTTTGGTATATCTTTCATTTATCCGTCTCCAAACCCTCTCTCGGCCATCTCTAGAATCCAAAGAGAACTGCGATTCATCAGTATAGAGAATTCAGCTCCAATCCTGTATATCCCAGTGCTGATGTTGGCGAGCAAAAATTAATCGATTCCTACAGTGTCTGGTTTGTAATTCGGGAACCATAGCCCTTTCTAGTTATTAGTCCCGTTTCATCGAGGCGTCTTCTAACCGTTCTCTCACTTACATTCACGTTTCGAACCTCCTGTAGACGGTTTCTTGAAGCAATTGCAGTAAAATAGCGAAAACGATCATCTGTTTGCGAGGTAACTCATCTACGACCAGAACCAGGTCGGCATGAGTATGTACCAGTTTCTATAAAGTCGTGGTAAATTCTCCGTAATGTAATTCGCGGAATACCAAAAGTTTCGGATACATAAACTTGACTTCTTCCATCTTGTAGCAGTGCAATAATTCGAGCAACACCTACTGTAGATAACACCATATCTTAATTATTCACTTAGTCGAAATCCACTTTTGTAAAGATAAATTACTATTTGGTTAAATGTTTATAACTTAGAAGATAAATATAGACTACAGAAAACAACAACATAAATGTCAAAGCTGTCAAAAACTAGCATACATAATCCCAATAATATTTAATTTGAGAAACAATATGTGCATAAAACTTCTAATGAATTTTTATTTTCGAAAATTTATAGGTTGCCACTTTTTTGCCATTTGTATATATCATGCATTCCCCTTAAAAAAAATGTTATATTATTTGAAATTTTTTGAACTATTACCGAATTTTTACTTTTTGCCGGAGTATCACTTACTTAACATCATCCCCATCTTCTCTATCATCACTATTACTGTTATGGCTATCAATGTCAACAGTCACATTTATTACCTCAGGATCAATATCGTCCATCAACCTGTCAATAACCCAAAACATTAGCTCTTCCTTAATAGCAAGTTTATGTGCCTTAATTTCATTCATCGCCATTCCTTAATAACAATGCTTCCCTAGTGTTAATCTTTGTTTTTCGTCACCAATATTGGTTGCTTACTTGCCCAATTATAGCTTTTGAATTGTTGTGCTATGTAAATTGTACAATTTTTTCTGATATAGCTGTGAATATTACCAAAACGTTGGACAAAACGGCGTCCTTTAGAAAAAAACGTTTTATTTTAAATGTTAGTCAAAAATGGTTAGACTCTGTTCACAGCCCAGAAAGAAATGATCGTAATTGATCCGGTGGTCGAACCAATTATTACAATGGCACACTATTTTGAAAAGCTCGTGCAAAACTATCTTTCAGAAGGATATAAAACTTGGACGATCCGAGGATAACGTGTACTAGGCGAAAAGTTTATAGTAAAAAATTAATGAGAAATATAACAAAAATCAAGCATTTTTCTAGATTAATATCAAATCACCCCCGTAATTACAAAAAGAAAAGGTTTTAAAACCCAAATATATTTATGAAAATTAATAATAAAGTGAACAGAATTATGGAACTGATAATACTAGTTTATACAGCAACACAAATTTAAAGTCACTGACTCCATCTTTCTGTTCCAGTTTGAACTAGTTATTTCTTTTTGAGTATTTGTTTATTATATGTGATTATATTAAATTACCACCAGTAAATAGTAGACATAATAAACTGGTGCATATCAGTTGATGACTCATTTAAGAGGGATGCTTTACTTTGCATTGTTAATACAACTTTTTACAAAAAACTAGTAAGGCTTGATCTCCAGTCTATCAGTGAAAAAATCATCCATTTGAAATAAAAATCTTATATAAGTTTCTAAAGATTCTAAAAGATATATATATATTAAGGATAGCTGATGGCAAATCCTTGAAGACATACAGATGATTTTTTTAAATATCATAAAAAGTGAAAAAATTATTTTTTTCTTATAAAATTTCTTATGCATTTTATAGAAAAATGGTTCAATTAAAAGATGTAGGTCGAGTATATAGCTACTAATTTCTCCAGATAGGGTTAGATTGGTATGAAATTTTAATGGTAGAAAGTTAATATGATGCACTGGACAATTTTTTAACATAATGAGCATTAGTTTCATTAAATAACAGACAGAATAACAAAATGTGAAAAAAATCTCCAATCACAGCTTTGACATTTCCAAAACTTTGTCAAATGCTCATCAATACAATGAATCATAACCAATTAAATACAAGCCAAGATGCCAAACAAATGAGTAATTTAAAACAATAATACCAATATCTAAATAAAATTAGTCACGAAAGACACACCCTTAAAAAACATAAGGGGTAACATAATTTTTAAAATGAGTTGTTAGATAGTTTCTGCCTTTTTCAAATAATAACTAATATCGCTATTATTATTATAATATAGAAACAAGAAAAAAGTAGGTTATGTTTTTGTTGTAAAATAAATAAATAAGTACAGGAATTTTTGTTCCCATTTACTAAAATCAAACATCTGTGCATTCAACTCTTCTACAGCATCATGTTTTACTCAGATTTCAGTTAATTTAATAACTAGTGATATTTAAATCAAATAGGCGTGGTTTTGAATCCAAGTAGGTAAACACGAAGATAAGAATTTTATCTTATCGGTATTTTTATCAAAACAGTAGTTCACAAATTAGTTTTGGCACAACTTTTACGATGATAACACGTAAAAATAAAACAAAATTGTAGTATATTTTTACTTACCTCGTCATTTAGTTTAACTTTCGAAGTCATCGCACCACTTATAACTCACAAACAAAACAAATTAAAACAGGTGTGCCACGCGAGTATCCAAGACAACTGATTACGTCAACTGCAATTAATTAAAATTTAGAAGTAAAAAAATAATAAAATCTAACGGATATTGTGGGTTTTTAACACTATCTACAAGAATAATTAAATCTTGCTTAAATTAATTGATTCCAACAATTGTGTTACTTTACATTCCCTTTAACTACCTGTTGATAGGACAGGTAAACAAATTGAGTTGAGTGAGTGGCTATTGTTCCATACGTCGTACACATAGTTTAAATTGCTTTAACGGAATTAATTTATATTAGTAAATATTCTTAGGATCTATTTATTTAAATTTTAAGACATGTCTCTATAATTTAAAACATTCGCATATTATATGTATAGAATTTCTCTATTTTCATACAAAATACCCGCTTCCCTTCATTTTATTTTTCTTTAAAATATGTTAAACATTGTAATCCAGTATATTAAATAACGTGGACTGTTCATAAAAATGAATTGCGTTAAATGTTTAAACACAATCAAAATTATTTTGGAGTTTACTAATTAACAAATAAAACAAATAGAAAATGTTGAAACTTGAAAGTGGAGTTTAATAATTTTGTAGATATTGATATTTTGCCGTTTTAATCGATTAGTTGGTCAAACTAAATCGATTTATCAAATGTTCAGGAAATTTCCTTTGCAAGAAAATCGAATTATATAAATGATTCATGAAATCAAACCTCTAACCAATCGAATGACGGGATGCTTAGGGATTTATAACATACGGAATTTTCATTGGTTGCATGTTAACGAGTTGTTAACCGTTTTTTACGATTAAATCGAAATATCCGAGCTCTAACAATCGAATCATAGACAGAGAGGGAAATATTCGTTGCACATGCGTTCCCAACAGTGGCTTAACAGAAAGTTGGCAATCGGGAATAAATTATTGTTTGGAGCTATTTCCTTGTGGCATCTTAATACAATTTACTATTTTTGGAATAAATAATATAATTCGGAACAATTTCTTTTCTTCTTTTTCTTCTTCACTGGCTTTGCAACTCGGGGTGAGTCTTCGCCAAATCCACTATCGCCCTTCATCCTCTACGGTCTTGCGCATCTATTTCCCATTGTTGTACCCCAATTCTAGATAAATAGGCTTCAACATCATCCTTCCATCTTTTTCTCGGTCGGTCTACTGATCTTCTACCATCTGTTCTTTCAAAAAACACTGTCTTTAACACTCTGTCCTCCTCTGATCATACCACGTGACCTGCCCATCTTATTCGATTTGCTGTATATGTCTAACTATGTTTTTCGTTCCATACAGAGTCATCAATTTAGCATTGCGGCGTCTTCTCCAGTCCCCTGTGAATTCATCTCTTTGAGGGCCAAATATTATTCTGAGAACCTTTCTCTCATTAACTAGAGGCTTATTGATTTTCCGCTGGTTGTGAGTCCATATTTCACTGTCATATGTAATAATTGGGCAAATAATCGACTTGTACAGTATTAATTTAGATTTTCTTTTTAGCAGCTTCGATTTTAATAATGTTGAAAGGGAGTACAATGCTTTATTTCCCGCAGCTATCCTTGCAGAGACCTCTTTTTCTGTGTTGTTGTCAGCTGTGTTTATCGCCCCCAAGTATTTAAACTTCTTTACTACTTCGAAGTTGTGATCATTTATAATGAGTCTAAGTCTTGGTCTTGGATTTTTGGTTACTACCATGTATTTCGTCTTTTCTTCATTTATTCGGAGACCCAGACTACCTGTTTCCTCCTTGAGCTGTGAAAACACCTCTCTCACGTCTCTTGTATAATGCGTGACTGCATCTATATCATCAGCAAAGGTCAGCAACAGTTTTGATCCTTGATCAGCAAATCCTCTTGTCAACTCAGACGATATTTTACTTATTACATATTCTAAAGCAAAATTGAACAGCAACGGTGACAGAGGGTCCATCTGCCCAAGTCCTGAATTTATACCAAATGGCATCGATGTTCTGCTTCCTATTTTTACTTGTGCATATGAATCTGTCACGCACATTTGCGTTAATTTAATTAATTTTCTTGGTATTCCCATTTCTAACATTGCTATCCACAATTTGCGTCTTTTTATGAAATCATATGCTGGAAATCTATGAAAATTTGGTGCACATCGCAGTTGAATTCCCAGTTTTTCTCTAATATTTGTCGGATGATAAATATCTGATCTATAGTTGACCTTCCAACACGAAAGCCGCATTGGTAGTCGCCTAGAATATCTTCCGAATATGGTGTGAGTCTCTTTAGCAAGATAATTGATAGCACTTTATACGATGTGATATGCCTCTATAGTTTCGGAATTGTTCTTTGTTTCCTTTCTTATATATGGGAATTATAACGCTTCCATTCCATTCTCTAGGCATTTTCTGTTGTTACCATACTCTCAGAATGATGTCATACAATTTTTGGTGCAAAACGTTTCCTCATTTTTTTAACAACTCTCCATTTATGCCATCATTTCCTGGTGCTTTATGGACTTTTAGATACGCGATCGCAATCTTTACTTCCTCAAGTGTTGGTGCTGGTATTTCGATACCTGCAGAATGAAACATAATATATTCTTCCTCCGTCTCACTTTCAATATTTAGTAAATTCCGAAAGTATTGCTTCCATCGTTCGACGATTTCCGTTTCTATCATTATAAGTTCACTTTCTGCATTTCTCAAGCTGTGTTACTCCAACACTTGCACCTTTTCTGACTGACTTCACTTTACTAAAGAATTTCCTTAATTGATTCTTCTCGCCACTTCTGTCCATTTCCCGGATTTGCTGTTCTAGGTAGCTCCTCTTTTTAATTATGAATAGTCGCCTTGTTTGTGCTCTTGTTCTGTTAAAATCTTCTTTGTTCTCATCTGTGGGGTCTTGTAGCATTTTCAATCTTTTTTCGTTTTTATTTCCAGAATTTCCTCGCATGCTTTGTCAAACTATTTTCGTTTCGGACGAGTCCTCTTTTTTCCAATGGTTTCCTTGGCTGCTTGTTCTAAAACCGATGCCACTTGCTGCCATGCTTATTCTAATTCTACATTATCCTCTTCCTCTTCCAGCAATTGGAATCTTTTGCTTATTGCCACTTGATAATCCAGTTCTTTATTTGGTGTTTGTAGGGCTTCTATGTTTCATATTTCTCTGTTTTCTTGTTGTTCTAGTTTCTGTATTGATAATATTGATGTAACCATTTCATTTGGATAAATGGAACTAAGATTTTAGCTTTTGTGGATTGATCTCCAAATTGTTCTCCAAAACCTCTTCATTGTTTGAAGGTCTTGAGATGTAATTATATATGGAATTCGGAACAGAACATCATTCAAATGACTGCCGCGGCCTAGCTGGTTAACGTGAATCTCAAATGTACAATTTGTTTAAGTATTTGTTTACATACTAAAAATTTATTATGACTGAGCAATTTAGAATTTCTTCGCACTCGTTCAATACATTTTTGTGTATCGAAAACTCAGTTATAATCTTTTCTTTTTAACGTAAACTTTTAAGAGCGGTTTTATTTATTTATTTATCGTATGTTTTGCATCCGAGTAATGTCTAAATATTTAAGTTTGGGTATAATTTATTATTGGGTTCACTAAAATTCTTTATCAAATAAACCACCTTCTATAACCAAAAACAAAACTCAACTTCCAAAACAAAATCATTTTATACAAACAAGACTAAATCCTATTTGTTACTACAAACACCATTACGCAAATGTGCAAAACCATGGTTGTGGAATATCATCCGAAAATTGCATTCTAAAGAGCTTGGTTCGATAGTAAACGCACTATGGTAACAAAGCAACCAGACACTTCAACATGACTTGAAGATCCCATTCGTTAGAAACGTACTTCAGCGAGCTAAGAATTCACAAAAAAGTTAAATTATACAGCAATAGTCCAGCCACAACAAGACTAGACAGAATCTGGCCCCATGGGCTACTTCAAAATTAAACCTACACAAAATAAGCTGAAACATCATTGGATATTTTGTTTTCACGCCTCAAAACCTGTAACACATTTATTTAATACTATGTAACAATGTTTATAATAAAAAAAATATTCCAAAAAAATAGAATTCTTTTATTTGTGTTGTTAATGCGGATGTATTTGTTTTCATAATTTGATTCACCATTTTCGTGTCAACAAATGCATTTTATTTACTAATATCTATAACTTGTTAGTCACTAGTAGAATAGCTGTATAATTTACGAAGATAGCAGTGGCGTTTATTCTAGCTTTGGAATATTACACGTATATCGTGTATAGAGCACTAACTCTAATGCACATCCTTATTTGAATTCAGCTGTAATACTCATCAAATTTGTGTACCTACACATCTTCTTGCTTTATTCTACTTTATCTATTCGAAATGGTTTTAAGATTTCTGAGTACTCTTTAGACAAGAAGGTTCTTAATTTATATTTTAATGATTCGTGCCAAAGGTTCTCAAAATTTTAGGCTATATGTAAGCATGTTCACTTACAAAATCTACTACAAAACATTGATGATTTGGTAGTAGATTTTTTCTTTCTATTATTGGTGATCGTTTTCAAATCAACTTTTTCATCACTAGTCGTAATTATTATTTTAACAGTGATTTATTACATCTTCATATTTTACTACTTCTCTATGCAAATGAGTAATACGGAAATATTAAAGCATTTACTACAAGATTTTCTTTAAATATAGTTAAATCAGAGTGCAATTCCTGCGAATTTTTTACTTTCTGTTCAATAAACACGCCACTGGAAAAATAAAGCTGCTGTCAAAGAGGCAGCATGTGCTTGTCTATTTCTTTCCTTGTCTTAACCAACCAGAGAACTAACAGTTCTCTGTCTTAACTACAATTACAAAATTAAAATTTAAAGGAAAATTATCAACAAGTTAAATCACGCTCGTGTACTTAGTTATTATTCTAACATTTTAAAATTCAATCAAAACGAATTACGAATATATTCTATTTTTATTTTATTTTAATTTTATTATAATGCCTAAAGCTTCAGCGCCAAAAAAGAAAGCTGCAAAAGGATATGCATTAGCGGAATCTTTGCCAGTAGGCGAAGTTCTTCAAGATATTTCCAAAAAGCAATGGAAGTTGGGTCCTGTTGTAGGCCATGGTGGCTTTGGCGCAATATATTCAGCTCGGCCAGCTACCGATAATGGTAGCAAATATCCCTATGTTGTGAAAATAGTGAGTATAATTTGATTAAGGGAATAACCACGGCGAAGTAACACCAGGATGTTTCCTAGCGGCCTTCTTGAAATAATCATTACAATATATTCATTAATTCAACTATTCCTAACCTACTATTAATTAGTAATTCCTATTCTACAATTTGATCTACCAGTAGTTTACATTGGCATAGTATCATTAGGACAGGACTGATGTTCTGCTTTTGTGATTCCAGTTCAGTTTATTAACTGGAAGGGATCAATTCTCTGGAGTTATCTGGTCTGCTCTGGTTTCAAATAGTGGGAGGATATGTATAATTGTATTTTGTTTATAGCAATTAAGAAATATTTGTAATTAGTATATTAAACACATTATTTCAAATGTTGTTAAACAGTAAACAACATTAGAACATAGGTAACTTAAAGACTAGGTAATACCAAATGGAATGTTAGTGTTTACCGTAATTGCTATGATCACACTGAACTAAAAACAATAGGCAGTATATTTGACAGTTTATTTTGTCTTTAAGTATACATGAATATAGCTTGTTTCAAAGCTGTAACATCATAATGTCCTTACTTATTTCATTTATGATCTTCATCATCACTGGCTCAACAACCCTTTTTGAGTCTTGGCTTGTTCCAGTATTCTTTTTCATTCTGATCTGTGTTGATTGTCTCATTTCCGATAAAGCTGATCAAAAGATAATAAATATTCAAATGGCATTTGGGAACCACCTTAACAATCAGTCCCTTTAAGTAATATGCAAACAATGGAACTCTCTATATATTTAGATAATCAATATATCACTACTTCAAATTTTAGGAACCTCATTCAAATGGGCCTTTGTTTGTGGAGATGCATTTTTATATGAGAAATGCTAAACAAGTTGATGGTGAGTTTTTGAAATTTTTCTAGTTATTTATTTATTTATTTATTTATTTTTACAAGGAACACATTTTACAGAATAAAATGTAATTACAAGTAGAGATTTTGACATTAGATATACCTACATGCTAAGATAAAGTGATCGAAGAGGATAGAAAGCTAGATTTAATTGCTTTGATGTTGGTGTTGAAGATATCTATGTTGCTATTTTTTTTAGTATTTTATTGCACTGCCTCATCATGTTGTTTATGGGCGAGCAGTCTGTCTCACAAATAAAAATAAACATGACTTAACCTTAGTTAATCTTAGATACCAAGAACGTTATATAGTTGATCTAGAATAAGTCTTGATATTTTAAGTTATTCACAATATAATATACAAGTAGCATTGCTTGCATTTTCCGTCTCTGTTCCAGTGATACAAATTTGAAAGTTTCAGGCATACTCTGGTAAGACACCAAGTATGGATAAGAATTATATTTTGTAACATATAGATATCTTAAAAATCTTTTTTGTACCTTGTCAATTAAATCTATATTTACTTCTGCATGGGGTGCCCAAACTACAGAAGCATACACAAGATGTCTATCATCTTAAAATGTTTGGTGTGTCTTATTATAAATCTTAACATCCTAAAAGCCTTATTAGTAGCAATGTGATAGTGATCATTGAAGTGCAAGCTTTGCTGAAAATTCACACCAAGATCTTTACACACAGATTTTCTGGGCAATTCTCTATTATTGATATAATAAACCATTTTAATAAAGTTCCTGTTATGGGTGAAGGTCATCACTGAACACTTGTCAACATTAGATCCATTCTATTTATCTGAAATCAATTAGATACCGCATTCAAATCTAGTTGTAATAGTTAGCAATCACATTGATCTTCTACAACTCTAAATATCTTAAAATCATCTGCAAACATTAAACAAGTGGAAAATTTGAGACAACTAGAAAGATCATTTATAAAGCAAGTAAATAAGAGTGGTCCCAGGTGCTGCCCTGAGGAACTCCAGAAGTTATGGAATATTCCTCTGAGAAAAAATTACCAACTCTAACTTGCTGACTTGTATCTGCTAGGTACGAATTCAAATGTTAATGCATTAATTGAGAGGCCAAAGGTGCCCAGTTTTCCTAGTAATAAACCATGATCGACCCTATCAAATGCTTTTGCACAATCAGTGAAGATTACATCCATTTGCCTCTTAGCATTTATGGCATCTGCAGCAGATTGTGTGAAAATGTAGCAGTTATGATATGTATGAGGCGGGTTTGACATTAATCTAATTTATTTTTCAACATAATTTTAGCTAAATTCACTTACAGCTAGTATTTAATAAATGGAATGATCATAAGCTCAACCTTGTTCCCTAAATGAGGCATTCATGAGACACATAACTCTCACCAGATAGTCAAATAACCAAACTATACATTATAACCTTAAAATTCTGACAATCGTCTTTGTGTTGCTTTAAGTTTGTTTAAATGTTATTCTTTTCAAATTCAAAATGATGCTGAATACTTCTTTAAGTTTGAATTCTTCCGAAAATGAAGTTATATATTTATGCCACTCAAAAGTTTACAGAGAAAGAATGAATTGTGATAATTATTCATAATAAAATTAATTTATTCAATTTTAAAATTATTATTTAAATTTTAAATATACAGAAAACATAGTACCTATTCAGCTTCGCGCTTATATATTTCTGCAGTTCTATATTTATTAGTCAATTTTTTTACTTTTAGTGGAGGATTTTAAGAAGAAAATGGGTCTAAAGACACTAGGAATGCCAATATACATAGGATCTGGGTCACACGAATACCGTGGAGATAAGTATAGATTCATTGTAATGGAGCAATTCGGCAAGGATTTATGGAAGACATTTTTGGAAAATAAACGGGTGTTTCCAGCCTCTACAGTATTTAAAATAGCGCTGCAAATGGTAAGTAACTGGATGTTTTTTTCATTTTTCAGCAAAAAAGACTTGATAGTTGCTTGAATTGGTTGAGATTGATAAGCTTTAGTTAGGTTAAGGTAGACTTGTTAGTCTTATTTGACCAAGCTTCCTCACACATTGCATCATTTGCGAGTTCAAGATTTAAGGAGGCCTGCCGTCAGGCTTATGAAAGATTGGGAGTTCTTACTGTACTAGCACAGTACATTCTAGAAAACCTTCAATTCACGAAGAAGATTATTAATCTTTATCAGATATCAAAAAAAAAAGTTGAGCAAATTTTGTGAAGGTTGCCTACATGTCTTCCCAGAAAAATCATTTTGCTCGACGGTATTGCCCATTGACAAAAGAAAAGTCAGAAAAGTCATAAAAACGATTTTTCCTATAATTTGATGTTCGTTATATTTCAAAGCATATTAATATAAACAAACTCTTGAATTATTAATTACATTGTTTTAAGATTTTGTTTTTTAGTTGGACGTTTTAGAATACATTCACAGCAAAGGTTTTGTACACGCAGATCTCAAAGGAGCCAACATTTTAATGGGCGTAACCAAAGAGACTGCAAATAAACAGTTGTACCTGATAGATTTCGGTCTTGCCACCAAATATTACGATCAAACCGATTTTAAACCGAATCCCAAGAAGGCCCATGATGGTACCATAGAATATTTAAGCAGAGATGCTCACCAAGGAGGTAAGTCTTTTGTGGTTTGTCCTAATTTTTCATAGAATAATCATTTGTTGAACTCTTTATAATTATATCATTAAACTAACCCTCATTACAGGGGTTCCTAAAGTTTTATGGTAAGGAAATACCCTCCAAATGCCTTTTGTTTTATGGAACGCCGTATCAACGCCATAGTACAAGTGAAAGATAGTGTAATTTATGTTTCGTCAAAAACATGTTGATGATTAAAAGTTGAAACCTCATAAATCTAAATTTTAAATTGTTTTGGAGAGCGTAAAAATGTTGTTTAGTACATGTTTTTTCTTTCTTAGTATTTTTTTTTTAGTTATTACTTTGGAAACAACATGACAATACACCATTTTCATGAAACTATGGTTTTGCCAGAACATTGAGAACACTATTTTGAGCCCAAATCCTTATAAATCTAAAAATGGCATTACATTTAATGGAAAAATACATTTCGTTACATTTTAGTTCAGACCAGACGAGGAGATTTAGAAATTCTTGCCTATAATATCATCCAGTGGCTTGGATGTACTCTACCATGGGAAAAGAATTTGAAAGATCCTAACAATGTTCACAAATCCAAAGAGGAATATATGTCAGACATTCCAAAATTCATGAAAACATGCTTTACAAGTGAATCTCCACCAGGTAGGTACAATAATAAAAAAATAAACCCAGTAGCATATTTAGAATTTTCCTCTGCGGGGTGGGGGAGTGGGTTTGGTTGGGCACCGAAATTTTTTTCCTAATGCTGCCTCCATTTTGAGTTCTTAAAATTTGTCAGGTCGGAATAGGGTCCTGGGGGGGGGGGGGGGGTGAGGTTTAACCCTCGAAAATTCATCCGGGTGCGCCGCTGAATAAACTGAGAATTACAATTTAAATAAAACTAAAATATTGTATAATATAATATAGTATAGTATATAGTATATAAATATATATATATATATATATATATATAATATATATATATATATATATATATATATATATATATATATATTATATATATATATTCTATCGCCTTCAGGTGCTGTTGAATTATCAGAGAAATGAAGCATACTAAGTAACAGTTCAAATTGATTCCTTGGTGTATGAAGTCACTTATTTTCCTGGTCAACAAATAGTTATTTTTTTTAAGTAATGTGAAATTGAAGGCTTTGGTAAAGTCCCATCCATAATACCAATCCAAGAAATGTGCGGATTTCTTCATTGTTAGTGAGAATCCATTTTTGCACTCGAGAACATCTTTTAACATTCGGAGAATTAAGCCATTGAATAGCGTAGCTATTGATTTCTTGAAAAATTATTGAAATAACATTATCATCCAAGAATAGGTCAAAAAAATCAATTGGATTTCCATTGTGTAAAGTCTCGGTAATATCGGGATTTATACATAAGTCTTCATTGTTTTTATTTTAGATAATATTTTTAACTTTTGAGGCATCTAGTCTGCTCCAATCAGATACAGTACCTAAAAAGTAAACAAAAAAAGTTAATATAATCCACTTATAATGATTTCATAAAAATTACCTGGTAAGAGCAGTGTATTTGCTACTCTAGTTGGATTAGCGGAGTCGTCACTCTCTGTATTACTCAACGCCTCGTCATTATTCGCTGTAAAATTGGGGTCTAAATCACTATCATTAAGCTCGCTTTCACTTGCTCGATTGTATAATCGTAACACACGTTCTGTTTCTCGGTCATCCATCTTGCTGAACCGTCAGTCAACTAACAAGAGCTGCTATTCTCTATAAATAGTTCAACACTGGCAAGAGCCGACCGCATCAACTCTGTGAAGCCACACAGTACCACAGTGGTGCACATACTGTATTTGTTGTATATTGCAAAAGATACTATAGAAGACTCAAAATAATATATTGATAATCAAATATTTAAATAAAAAGCTAAAACAGCTGAAAAGCCCCCAGGACCGATATATTGATTTTCCCAAACAAGCTATGGCAATGATAGTGTGCGCCATATTGGTGCACATGGCAGTCAACCTGTTAAAGGATTAAAGTTAGTATCGTCACTGTCTTTTATATAATCATATCATCGATGAACCGATAATGGGTCTTACTACATAATAATTCTTCTGTTCTTTTTCAGCTCCTTTAGTTACGTTTTTGAAGTATTTGTTAACCCTAAAACACAATTCCAACCCAGACTATAAAAAAATTAAAAGTATTTTGTCAAAAGGCCTGGAGGCGGGCGATAGCATTGGAAAAGCTTTCAACTTTTCCATTGGTAAAGCTTCTTCTAATAAAACGCCTTCCAAAAAGACACCTTCAAAGAAACCGTCGTCCAAAACGCCTACTAAGAGGACAGGCAAAGACATTTCTGCTGTTACGCCGAAGAGAAGATCTGCAAGAAATGATGACGCAAATTCTACTCTAGAAGAGGAAAATGTTGATGAAGAGGAAGATAGTTCAGGTAAAGCAAATTGTATGCTGTAAAGTTTTGTATTATGTTCTAATTGTGAAAATATACCTTCAGATGATAACGTTGAAGAAGTTACCTCCAAGAAGTCACCTTCAAAGAAAAGATCCTCCAAGGTGTCTACAAAAAGGAATGGCCAAGGTGTTACCTCGAGAAGAAGATATGCAAGGAATGATGATGCAGATTCTACACTAGAAGAAGAAGAAAATGTGGATGAAGAGGAATATAGTTCAGGTAAAGTGAATTTAGGACCATAAAAACTTGTTTTCTGTTCTAATTGTGAAAATGTACCTTTAGGTGATAACGTTAAAGAAGCTAACTCCAAGAAGACACCTTCAAAGAAAACGCCGTCCAAAACTTCCACTAAAAGGAAAGGGCAAGGTACTACTACGAAAACAAGATCTGCAAGGAACGATGACGCAGATTCTACTCTAGAAGAGAAAAATGTGGATGAAGAGGATGAAGATAGTGAAGGTAAAGCAAATATTACACTAAAAAATTAATAACTTAATGTGTTGTGTTCGATCCTAATTGTTAAAATATATGTTTTTAGCTGATTGGATCGAAGAACTGAACTCTTCTGTTAATAAAGTGTCGTCCAAGAAAAGTCCTTCAAAGAAATCTCCTTCCAAGAAAACCCTCTCCAAGTCGCCAACAAAAAGAAAAAGTAACGGAATTTCTACGGTCTCACTGAAAAAAAGATCTAAAAGAAGCGAAGCTCTAGATTCTACCCTAGAAGAGAAAGAAAACTGGGATGAAGTCGAAAGTGATTTAGGTAAGTTTTACAGACACCTTTGATGTATAGTTTTCCAAGTTTCACGTAATTTCACTTATATTCCTGATCTTTTATAACATGTTTCATCTATATAATATGTTTTTTCCATCTCTTCGAAATTCTGCTATTTGTTTCAGATACTTTCTACGCCATAAAATGATTTCTTTTTTTTTAAGAAAGGTACTATTCCTCTTTCTCTTTAAATACCTAAAGCTCATTTCATGTAAAGTACGTAACAAAACACGTCTTGATATTTTTAGAATATTTTTATTAGATTGAAGAGGAGAAGCATTTTTTATAGTTGGTAATTCCTTTTTGAAATACAATTCATATACTGCATGACTGCATGACGAATGACATTTTTGGTTGTAACATCTACTGTTCGTTGCAGGATATTTCGGATTTAATCTTCTAGGTATAGTTGTATTCAGAGTCGGACTTATATACTGATAAATTTTATTAAAATTACGGCAATCCCAAAAAGTAAAAGAAAAATACATATAAGTAATACTTTTATATTAAAAGATATATTTAACATAGTGAAAAAATACAAAAAAAAATAATTTTAAACTTAACTATTGTCTACATTTAAATCGGTATCACTATCATCGCTATCGTTTAAATCTATAATTACTCTATAATGTTTTGGAACTGTAAGTATTTTTTTTCTAGTTTCTTGACATGCTCTATAAATTCTTTCCAATTATCTGCTGTAATATTATTACATTCGATCTTAATTATGTAACGGAAATATTTTGCCTACCACAGGGGGCATTATTACAAGGGGTAGAAAATTGGGGGAAGAAACTATTGGGGGTGAAGATAGGGCAAGCAAAATAATCGCTACTTGTGCGAACGGCACTCAGGGTTTGGTAGGAGAGCTGGGGTCGTGGATAAGTAATAGATAAGGGGGTGGAATGGGGCAACTACACAAAATAAAATAAAGGGGGTCATTAATCTTTTGGAATAAACAAAATAAAAATAAACAAGAAACACCTCAAGGAATTTAATATAGGGCGCCACTTGAGGTGCCTAATTATGCCTATTACAACCACTAGTTGTAACTAGGAAGATAATTAGTAAAAAAATTTAAAACATAAAAAACATATCTTTTTCAAATAAAAATCAAAAAAGGTTTAGCTCAAAAAAATAATAAATAAAATGTTAAGACAACAAAATTTAACATTTATTTATGTGTCACCACAAAGAGTTACAAAATAGAGAAATGCAAAATACAAAAAAAAACTTACGTGTCATCCGCTTACAAACTCCAGGAGTTGGAGATACTACATAATCTTAAAAAAATTTATATAGAGGTTAACCTTGTTTTAAAATAAAACAAACTAATAGTCAAAAAAAAAATAATAAAAAACGAGCTGTCATAAGTTAACATTACCTAAATTTCAAAAAAAACTAAACACACAAATTGACAGCACAACTCAAAACCTAAAATTTACAATTTTAAATGTCAACGAAAGCAATTATTTAATTTAAAACAAATTGTCTGTCTTTACTTTAAAATTTGATCAAAAAGTTACCTGGATTTTTCACTAACAAAATGTACTAGAATTTGTGGAACCAGACGCCACTGGAATATCCGAAACCATAACTGGAATTGAGGGCTTTACTCTCTGTGCAACGAACACAACTATCTATCTTCATATCTCCATATCTCGAACAAATCTATCTCCATACTGCCAAAAGCCTTGGGTGATAACCAGGGAGAATCAAAACGAGGATGGAAACGACGATTCTTCCAATCCTCACTCAAACATTTACTGAACCATTAACTTCACACTGCTACACATTTTCTATGTGTATGAAAATTTTACAAACTCGACATGAATTTGGACATAATGCTGAACCGCTCTTGATCGCGGCTCCAACGAGAGTAACGAAATTAAAAATTTTTTCGCTTAACTTGAAAATAAACAAACAACGGAAATAAAAACGTAGATATCCTTTTGCGACAATTAACTAAGTCGCTTACATTCATATTTTGTTCTCTGGCTCGAAGTCTTTCAAACCAATTTCCGATCATAGTTTTTTCTTCACGTGTTAAATTGTGACGTTTCTTTTTGATACACGGTTCACTATTACTACTGTCAGTCATATTTATTATTTGTCACCAAATCGAATTACCTCGAAACTAATTTCACAAAAACTAAAAGTAAAAGCGCCTTCCACTAATATCACTGCGAACAATGCTGTTCTCTGTTTTATGAAACCCATGTCAGTGCGCTTATGGAACTGACTTACAAATATCATACAATAAAAGAACCAAATTGTTGATCTCGGACATTATATACCGTTACAGAAAGATATAAATTACACCATTGTCAATGAAATTTTCTTCTTTTGTCAGTATGCCAACAACAAAAATATTTTTTACCAAAGAGTAAACGTCGAATTTTACCGGCCTATAAAAAGCCATTAAAACATGAGTCACTAGCTACAGTTGCAGTACTTTACTGTAGTTGTAGATTACTGTAAAATGTATTTTGCCTTTATTAAACATTTTTATCATTTCAGAGGATGATGTAGAAGAAATCATCTTACCAAGTAAACCTAGAAGGAAAATCGTCTCACCAACTCGTAGGAAAACAAAGCCAATTAAGAAGAAGCCCACGAGATCACCATCCCCTGCGAAAACTACAAACACTGTAGAAACGAACGCCATGAGGGAAATACGACAGCGGATATTGGAAAGGGAAAACTCAAAAAAGAAAACGAAGGCACGACAATTACCAACAAATGGAGATACGGATGGATATAACGATGCCATGAAAGAAGTTGCGTTAAAGAAAAATGGTCGGATCACTAAAACAGTCACAAACTAATACTTGAAGTTGCATACGGTGATCAAGTTACTATATACGCCTGATAACATTGAATTGTTTGTTGAAAAATGGTTAATATTCATGCTACAAAATATATTTTAATTTTGGTGTATTTTTTCATGTTGTAACTGTTGTAGAGTTCAAAAATAGTGGAAAAGAATTAGCTCTGTACATAAAAAATGCTTAAAATTACTTCATAGTTCCACCCTTTCGTTTTTTGGCCTTTTTTGGCCCTTTTGGGCATGTCCATAATGTATTTTAGGGTGTGTATTAAATAAAAACAAAAATATCGATCCTTAATTTTTGCAATAGCAATATTTAGGTAGAAAATACTCGCATATTTAGTCCTCATATACAATTCTGTCCAGACGACGGTGTGGTCTATCTTCAGAACTACTATTTAGTGGGAAAATATGCACATATATTATTTTCTACCTATATACTTCTTCATTCCTATCATTTGGTTTCATAATTGTTGATAAAAGTTTATATTGTCTTCCTTTTTCGTTACCAGGCTATTACTTTTATCCAGTTATTATCGACGAGGTCTATATCAGTTCTTAAACAAGTTCTACACATGAGAAAGCGTTTATGTTTGTAGAATTTCCGAAATACTACTAGGATGTTTTAGAGGTACATTCATGAGGATCTGAACTGTTTTTTTTTTGTGGAATGGTGGAATATGAATCCGGAGCTTTTACCTATGGTTCCGAAGGATCCAGATCAAAATAGAACATAATGAGAAAATACAACCTAGTATTCTCCCTACTTACTAATATAAAGTAGCTATGTGAATCAATCTATTTATCTATCTAATTAGCCTTCTTCGGTTCATCTTTGGACGTACGCCTCCCCAATCCTTTTCCATTCTTCTCTGTCTGTCGCTACAGTCATCCACCTAGAGCCCACGTGCTTCTTGATATCATCTGCCCATCTCATTTGGGGCCTTCCTCTGCTTCGTTTATATTCCCACGGTCTTCAACTTATAAGAATTTTGTTCCATCGGTCTTCTTTTTGTCTTATATTGTGTCCGGCAAATCTCCATTTCAATTTTGCAACTGCTTGTCTAACATCCCTCACTTTTGTTTTCTCTCTTATCCACTCGTTTCTTTTTTTCAATTTTTGAATTCTCTGAATCAATATGCATAAAAAATATAGAAGATAAAATAGTTAATATTTTTTCTATATTATGCCAGTCCCGGGAGTAATGTCACAATCACAATAAATATATCTGCTAGTGCAAGAGGTTGCTATTTATATTTTTGGCTTAACAATGAAAAAACAAGTATTTTTGTTCGGAATGGCTTTATTGCTTTTCAAAATATTCTCCGTGAAAATCAATACACTTCTGCATGCGTTTGAACCAATTTTCGAAGCACGTTTTCCACTCAGATTGAAATAACTCCAAAACATATCTACGTCGAAAGTTATGATAAATTATTGCACAAAAATGTTGACGGTTCAATTCCATTTTTTGTCCGAGACAAATTTTTCGAGACACCGTAAATAACAAAAATATTGCTCATACGTCAAAACGTTCTGAGTGAGTATATGCTTAAAAATGTCAAACTTCCAGTGCAAATGTCAGTTGGTAGTACTTGTGTTGCTTACGCCAGAAATATAAATAACAGCACTCGTATACGTACTGCTTCATTATACTTTGCAAAAACGTCATTCGTCCAACGTGTATGAGCCAATTCGTGCTATATTTACGTACTAAGATTTTACCTGCTTTATAAAAATCTATAAAGAATATTTTATTTAAAATTTGGTAATAAGAAAGAAAGATTAAAAGCAAATATATTTTGTAGATAAATTATTAACCTTTTTTAAACAAAAAATTCAAGTTTATCAGTGGCATTAACGATACATTCAACTTACAGTATTTCGTACATATTAATGAAAATTATTTTTATACAAAGTTGCTTTATAAGTGACTTATTTTTTATGTTTTATGCTTATTAAATCAGTTTTTTAATTATTGCCGTTTTGTACTGTTCTCTTTTTGTTTACCAAATTTTTTGTCCTTGTAGAAGGATTATTAAATAAATTGAATTTGTACGGTTGTTTTCTTACCTCCTCTTCCTCCTTCCTTGGTTAGAACTTCGATACAACCAAGGAACTTACTTGGAAGTAACGAAGACAAAAAGGGCTGTCAGAGCAAGTGTACTTATAGGATATCAAACAAGGAATACTGGTAAGTGAGGCTGACCATGTAATGTCCAAATGGAACAGTTTCTTCGATGTGCTGTTAAATGCACATGACGAAGAGGAATAAGCTGAAAAAACAATATTAGAATTCGAAGATATCTATGACAGACCAACAGGATGAGACATAATGGACACCATTCACCTAAATAACAAAAACACAAGAACAAATGGGATAAGTGCAGAAATATTGATGGCAGAATTTTTATAAACTATAGGTACTACTATTTTCTCCTTAGCACTAAGAAGTTTCTAAGCAAATATGTGGAATGGGCCATGTTGTAGTTGAATAATTTAGACATCGGATTATATGGACTAATAAAAAGTATTGTACTCCGAACATTATATTGCAATTTAAATTATCTTCTAGTTGCAGTATTTACTGTGGAGAACTATACTAAATTCTGCAAGCCATCATTTATATATGTACCCAAAAAATTTCAAATTCTGTCATAATTACAGATTCTCGTAGTTCATTACATACGTTAGAACAGTTATATACAAGTAATCCGATAGGTATTTTAATAAAAGAATAATTACATTTGCTAGTCACGAGGCAGCAAGTACGCTTTTATTGGTTCTATCACACATTGGACTTCAAGAAAACGAATATGCAGATTTTCATGCCAGGGAAGCAATACACAGTGCCTCTTCAGTGTTAGTGAACTTGGTATCTGTTTCTGACTACAAATCGTTCCTAAAAGAAAAAGTGACAAATGAATGGAAAAACAAATGGAATCTTTAACAATCGCTGTTTGTTAATAAAAATCACTGTTTGTTAACCTAACCCGCGTACGTATAGGTCATAGCAGACTAACTCACGGCTACCTAATCTCCAAATCAAATTGCCCTATTTGTGACTTATGTAACTGCGACATTAATGTAACATAACTTAATAGAGTGTCCTAAATATATTAATGAAAGACGAAAACACTAACTACCTAACAATATAAAAGTAGTTTTAGGAGCACATTGTAAATTTACAAATATGTTTAATTACTTGAAACATAATAATGTTACAGACAAACTGTAACTATTAATGTTACTTGTATTTTTACAAGTGTATTGTAGGTAGTGTATTCTTAAAAACAAAAGATATCCAGAGCATCTTAAGACCAAAGTATACAATCAATGCGTACCTACTCCCTGTTCTTATTTATGGTTCCCAAACGTGGGCATTTACAAAAGCAAACATGAATAAAATCATAAAAACCCAAAGAGCAATGGAAAGACAAATGTTGCACATAAGACTAATGGATAAGAAAAAGAAACGAGTGGATAAGAGAGAAAACAAAAGTGAGGGATGCTAGACAAGAAGTTGCAAAATTGAATGGAGATTTTCCGAACACAATATAAGACAAAAAGAAGACCGATGGAACAAAATTCTTATAAGTTGGAGACCGTGGGAATATAAACGAAGCAGAGGAAGGCCCCAAATGAGATGGGCAGCTTATTATATTACAAGACAAAGTGTTTTTTTACCCAAATTGGATTATCACCCCAATATCTGAGTGACAATAATTTCCTGCTAGATAAAAATCAGGTACGCAGACGCTAGAGGGTTTCCTACTTCAGACAAAAAATCATAGAATGAAAACTTCAATGTCATTTATTAAACCATTGATTTTATTAATGGTCTTTTCTAAAACAATTTAAACAATGTGAAGGTAAGTCGGATACATCTTTTGAAAAAAAAAAAATGAAACCAGAGGAAGAAAACGTATTCAGCTTGAAGATGGTATTATGCTATTTGGAGAAAATTTCATGCTTTCTTTTTTTTGAAATGAAATTCCAGCCTTAAAGAAAGCCACAGCTGAAATAGATTCCGACGACTTAATTCCCAAAATATCACGCTTGTATTAATGCGAACATTAAGGCAAATGGACATTAAATATACTCAGTGATATTAGAAGTGTTAGACTTAGAAGGAATAATTTCTTGAACAATACCAATAATTTATCTTTTCTACTTTTTGTAAAAATACAGTTTTATGTTTAAATTTTCTTGTGAAGAATCCGATTTGTGAAAACCGGTTCGCATAGAAATTTTTAATTATTATTCCTCAGTCTACGACTTATTCAACCCACGACTAGTGTTTCCTTTGACTGCGGACCACTTTTATCAACATTTGAATTGGTGCAGAGAATGGCAGCATTGGGTGGCAGAACCACCATTCTGTTTAGGAATGCATGATGGTCGTAGGATGGTAAGACACCACCGTAGAGAGCGAAAAGATATCGGGATTGCTGTTGAGAGGCATGTACACAGGACAGTTGGAGTAATGGTTTGGGTGGCTATTGCCTATGGTAGCTGATCACCACCTGTATTGATTCGAGGTACTATGACAGCTGCGCGTTATATTGATGACATCTTATAAACCACTTTACTGCCTTATCTCGACAGCAGTCGAGACGTCTCTGGGATATGATGGGAAGAAGACTGTCTACTTTGCACCATCCTCCACAGACTCTGGCATAGTTAATACATGAAGTTTAAGTTGCTTGGAACGAGGTGCCGTAAGTAGACATCGTCCATCTCATTTTTTCAATGCCTAGACGTATACATGAGTGTATTCTACTAGAGGATCGCCAAACACATTAATTTTTTTTTATTACTTGTTAATAAAAACTCTTGAGAACGATATCGTTTCATTCTTGATGTAAATCTACCATGTTTCCACAAAATTAAGTTCAATAAATTGCTTGAATTGCTTCTGGGTGTAACACTTCTAATGTCACTGAGTGATTGAACGAGTTAAATTCGGAACATACGAAATATATGTGTTTCGGCTC